GACCTAATCGTCGACCAATTATCTTATCTTTTATCTATCAATCAACCATCTTTTGTATGTCTTTTTTAATCTATTAACAATTAAGAATTCAGATTCTCCTAGACAGAATCGATGGAGTATTTATCACGAGAAAAATTAATCAGAGTTGAAACTGTTCAAGTTTTGAGGGAGAGAAAGAGAGATCCAAATAAAGCGCGCATGTCGGCGTCGACCTAGCTCCTCACTCGTTAATAGAGCCACCAATGACGCCACACATGGCGGATATTAGATACGAGCAAAACTAGTTACACGAACGTTACTTCGCACGTGCACCGGCGAGAGACAGAGAGAGAGAGAGAGAGAGAGAGAAGAGAAAAAGAGACAACGAGCCTTGACGAGGGAATTGCTAACCGGTGATCGGCGCGGCGATCACGTTGGAAAAATGATTTCTCGGTCACGCAACGTGACACTACACGTAACAAAGCCGTGATATATGTGTACAGCTAGGCAAAAGTTTCACGTGTGTGCGTACGTGTGTATGCGTGGGGTGTCTCTCGTCGCTAACCCCGTTTTTCCGAACAGCAGATTCCTTCCGGTGAATTCGAGAAGCCGATTGAACGCGACAAACGCGACGGAAAATTGCCTCATTGTCAAATACGTCACATTTTGCAATAGACGGCAAACACGCCGTGAGAATTAAAACGCTAATTAAATTCCTATTAAAAGTAAAGCTTCGAGAGCGGATAAAGTTCCAATTAAATTTCTATTAAAAAGGAAAGATCCGCGCGCGTCATCGAAATTTAAATTTGAACAACGCCCGTAATTAGATCTGTGAAATTCTCAAGTGGAAGGAAAGTTGAATTTATACACAAGGAACGTATCGTTTGCACACAAGTGCCATATCGCAGAGGCGTTGTGCGTAAAATAAAATCAGTTCTCTCTCTTTCTTTCATCTAATTAAGGCACCCATTGTTCGAAGCGACGGTTAGTGAAAGACGAGCCCAACCCTTTTCTCCGTCTCTCGACAGTCTCCTCTTCGACCTACGTATGGCCTCGATAATAATAATTATGAAACTTGGCCGCGATAGTGAAAGTATCGCTTCGTACAGGACGTTTCATAATCAAGCGCAAACGAGCGAACGAGTGAGCGACGTCGAATTCAAGTCGTTCTCGAGGCGAAAGCAAATCTCTCTCTCTTTCTTTCTCTCCTCCCCCCCCCCTTCCGCCGGCGTTCGCTCGTTCGTTCTTTCATTTATTCGTTCGTTCGTTCGTTCGTTCGTGCCATCAAATCTCGAAGCTATCGAGCGACGCGGTTTTCTTGGGGAATCGTAGTTCGGAGAGAAATTAGTTTGTCTTGGCAAAAGTGAAATCGGCGAAACAGTTACGGCGACGTTAACGGAGTTAGAGAAAGATGCCGCGATCGATATATATGAAAGTAAACTTTTGCAGGTTTCCCGACTTTCGCGTGTTGCCCGAAATTGTTGCTAACGTTCACAAGTTACTTAGTGCTATCGGTCTTAATTAAGAAGAAAAGAAAAACATTCGAGTAAACTTTCCTCGGGAATAACAATTTAATAATCTAATCAGAATTTCTGATGATAAGAATCCGCTAGTTTGTAAATATCGCGCATAAGAAGAACGCGAAACGGAGAGAGAGAAAAAAATGGTTGCAATTAATAATCATAAATTAATCATGTATAATCGTTTTCAATGCGCTAACTGTATATTTGTTTAGTGTAACTATAAATATAATTATTATTACTAACATAGCACATAGTTGGTAAAATTTGTATGAAATTAAACACATGTCCCAAGTGATCCACCCAAATTTTTGTGTTAATTTAATATAAGATGAATACGTTTAAAAGTATAAACACAAAAATTATGTAAAACATCTTCCTTTTTATATTCTGAAAAAAGGCATGTTAAGCCGATAACTCGCAATATTATGGCCACCTTTTCCGTAATGCTGATTTTTTTATTTTTTACTATATTTGCTATTACATTAACAACTTCTACACACAATTGTTAAAATATGCAATGACAGCCGCCGAACAAAATAAATGCAACGAGAAAACCAATCAGAATCACGAAAAAGCGACAACAATAAACTTCGATAGAGTATCGACTTAATGCGCCTTTTTTTAGAAATGGATGGAAATTGAGGAAATATATTTCTTCAGTATAAAAATTAACATATACATTCAACTTTTATTTATGTAACTTAGATTTTACGCTTTAAAATTACATTATTTTTGTGTTATTTATTTACTCACTCATAAATTGTGCTATTTTAACTCTAAGAAATGTTAAATATCAATTTCACACATAATTACATTATGTTCAATTAACACTCGGATAAGTTAAAAATTCAACATAAAAATTTGACAAACATTTGAATAGATCGTTTTTTAACACAAGTAGAAATTGTTTTCAACTGTGCGGTAATAACTAAAAAAAAATCGAGCTCCCAATTACTTTTTAGCATGGCAATTACAGTCACAAGTACCAAACACTTTTCTCTCGGTGCGACTTTAGACCAGAATCTTCGGACGTACATCGCGATCTTTAGTAATCGTTTGCGAAATCCCTCCCTCGTCCTGGTAAATATTAATAGGCTTTCCTTCGACGATATCTGGAGAAGAGGTTTCAAATGAATGATTCAGTGAGCATTTCTCTATACCGCCCACGAGCCGAGTGCTCTATGCGGAGAAGGCGATAGATTACTTCCGCGCCATAAAGAGATTTTAATAAAACTTGAGAGAGAAATCTCTTGGACTTGGAAGAAGTGAATGATTATAAATTCGGCGTATTCTCCGGAGCCACCGATTTACGTACGTTAGACAAACCAGGACGATTTAACAACTTTCACGAATGTACTTCCACGCCCGTTTAAAGAATCAACGAAGCCGCGCGCTCTCGGCCAAAGCTATTATCCCGAGAGCGACGTGCGGAGTGAAAATCGATTGTTCTCCTTCCTGGAAGCTCGACGCTTTTGTCAGGAGCGTCACCATTCGAAATTTAAATATATACGATATTGTTTTGTGTGTCGATACGTATTTTAAACTAAATACGATACGCTGTTTTCAACGCTGAGAGAAATAGATAAATGATAGACAAATTGAATCGAGTAGGAAATCGACAACAAGTGTTTGAGTTTCGCGATAAATAGAAAATTATGCTTAACAATGTTCATTATTCATTTAAACTGTATTAATATTTAACAATATTAAAAATCAACATTAATATTTAATTAGCAAACTTGTTGCTTCTCACAATCGAGAGATTTTAATAGAGGCATTTCATTATTTACAACATTTGGCTTGTTCTTTTCGACTGAACTGATATTGCAATTCGTGCATTTTTTTTTTTTATCAAACACTGATACAATTGTGCCAGGGAAAAAAAAGGAATGAACAATCGATGGAAATTCATGCCCATTTCTACCAATGTAGAGCAACTTTAATCTCGGTTTAATTTATTCTTTATCTCTTTCTAATTCTAAAGCCTAGAAGAAGATAAAAAATTAAATTGAAAATTAATCTTTGATAGAAATGGACACATCAGTGTAGCTAAAAAGAATAGGCCTTATTATTAGGCCCGTATCAGACTGTATTGGAAACAGACTATACATCTATTGGAGATTACAATTCAACCAATTAGAAAATTAATTAATTAAACGGATTAAAATTAAAATTATCTAATTAGTCAAACTGTAATCTTCAATTAGCAATTCTCGATCTGCAATGTGTAGTCTGATAAGTTTAATTGGCAGGACACAAGGTGTACAATATACGCCATCTGTCAGCGCGTGTTAGGTATTAATTTACTCAGCAACGTGCATTCTCAAAAGTATGATACTTATTCCACAATTAATACTACGAAATATTACAAAGATACCGCTCTATAAAAATACATAGAGAAAATTCGAAAATCTAAATTAATGATTTAATGAAAATTTCTCTACATCTCGGAATCGGGAGTAAATAATGGAGAAGTAAATTATTTCACAACGTAAACAAAAACTTGTAATTATCGATCGATTCCATCTGAATAATAAATGAATTATAAATTCTACATCCAAGCCGCAATTTGTATCTTAGAAATTCTAAATTAATGATTCAATGAGAATTTATCTACTTCCGCGAATTGAGAGTTTAATGGAAAAGAAACAAATTATTTCACAATGTAAACAAAAACTTGTAATTATCAATTGATTCGATCTGAATTATAAATGAATTATAAATTTTACATCCAAATCGTAATTTATATTGTTAGAAAATTCGCTAACGAGAGCGAAAGTTGTGCATTTCTGTAAAAAAATTCACAAAATTGCTCTTTCAAATTAATTAGGAAGAAATATTTTTAATAAAATATTTTCACGTAATTACGCGTAGAAAAGTCGAAACTTGTACTTATTAATCTTTACAAAAGTACAATGCTCACTAATTTTGTTATACATATATATGATATATTCAATGTGCCTCCATTAGCTAAATTTTAGCATTGACAACAGTAATAGCGTGAAAATAATGGTACATTACACTGTTCAATATAAATAAATCTTGCACGCTTAAAAATAGAACACGTCTATAATACTGTTCCGTGTCCTTTTAAACACGATTACATAAAATTCACAAAACAAATACCATTTCAAAATGCCAATCAAAGTAGCAAAATACGTACAGAAAGAACTTTGAGGCTGCTGCATATCAGATATACATCAGATATTTAAAAAAGCCATACAAAAAAATTATTGATGTATTGCATTCTATACATATATCTATGCATATTATTCTTTCAAATACAGTGTGTATAATACTTATGCCATTGTACAAAATCTGACAAATGCAAATAAAAGTAATATGTATGTAATGACTTTGGAATGATAAACCTGTAGACATGAAACAGCATTCAGAGTTACAATGCTCCATATTGGCAATATTGAAACTAATTTATGGTTTCGCAGTACTTCTCTCCTTTCGTCGAAGGTGAAAAATAGAATAACTTGAAACACTTACCCAGGAGATGCAATAAAATGAGATTAACAATTAACTCGATGCAACAATTGATTGATTCAGCAACACAGACTTCTTCGTCGAATATCACCTGTAACGAATGAATCCTTATGTCAGCAGATTATACATGTATGTATACCTAAAGTCAAAGTTTACATTTGATCTGGAGGTACAAAAAGGACACAAAGGAATAACACTCCGCACCGGTAATCTGACTATAATTACCCTCAATTAATCAATTGCGACTGTTTTCTTGTCTCACAGTGAGGGAAGAAATTGAAAAGAAATATGAGAAAGAGAGTATATTCCACCCTTCCTTTCTCTCTCTCTCTCTCTCTCTCGTTCACAAATTTAAAGATTCCGCGTGCTAAGAATCTGCTGAGAACGTCGACGAGAGATGACGATTCGACAGCGACGATAAAAACTTTAGAAATATCTCCACGTCCCGACGTGGGCCCGGCACGAGCGTGGGTTTCGCGAATATCTCGCAAGTGACATTGCGGTTTTCGGATAGGAAAAACGCGTGTGTGCACGCCGCTACTTCTCCATGACTCGGCGCGGCGTTTCGCTCTCTTTCTCTTTTTTTTTCCTCTCTTCCTCTCTACACACACAACTCAATCTGAAAGTCAAGGTTGCGCGCGCGCGCGCGCGCAACTTACCAGTGTAAGGTCAGAGCGGTCATGCGGGAAAACGCGTTGTTTACGTTCCGTCGATCGACGATGCCGGGCACACGACGTGCGCCGAGACAGTCGTCCCGTGGGATTTTCACGATTCGCGCTCACACGCGTGAATTTTGCGACTCGACCAGTTCTCGCGAGCACGACGACACGACCGCGGGCGAGTCTGGAAATTTTCTTTCCTTTCCGTCCACCGGGAGAGAATCAGATCTTACGCACACGCACGCACGCACGCACGCACGCACACGCACATACAGACAGACCGATCGACCAACCGTTGACGCCGATCGCGACTTTCGAACTGATTGCGATTTTCGAAGTCACAATCAATGATCGAATCTCAGAGTAAACGCAAGCAACTTCGCGGCGCCGGGTTTCCTACGCGGGTAACCTCACATCGCCCCGCGGTCTCAATTTCGCCGCGGCGCGTCTCGAAACCGTCATCCCGGAGTTAACGACGTTCGCCCACGGAAGTGGCGTCCAGTTGCTCATCGCGCGAACACGTTGAATCGCTTCTCTCGCGCGCCGTCCGCATTTACACGCATAAAAAGTGTCCCCTTATCGCGTACACGATTGGCGCCTTCATTTGACTCACACGATTCACATGCTAACTCCGCGATGCTCCGCGATGCTCCGCGAATCGCGTGACGGGTAGAATTCGCAGGACGATCTTGCCAATGCGAGCCGCGCATGCGTGTGTATCGTTTGTCGATCACGTGACTGCGAGATTTTTTTTTACGTTTCAAATGCACGAACCTGCTCTTCCTTGAATTTGTGAATCGTTTTTCTTACGAATTATATATATGTTAATATAGAATGCTGTGTTAAATATGAGTGTTAACCATATTAAAAGTTAATATATAACATTAGAGACATCTATACATGTAAAAATTAATAAACTAATTGTTTTACCCGTTTGTCTTCACTTACCAGTAGTATTATTTATTGTAATAAACAAAAAAGCAACAATTCGTATCAGTTAAGAAACATAAACTATTGCCGAAATAAGATATGCATGTATCTTAATTTTCAAAATAGGGTGTTTTCAAAAAAATTTAAACGTATTAATTTTTTTTGAATATCCTATACTTTGGAAACTAAGTCGCTTAGGACACATATATGTTTAATATGATATATTAACTTTTATTAGTTGAAATAAACCAAAGAATTGCCCTCTTGAGTATGGCAATGTACTTGAAGAACACGCTGTATATTAATTGATAAGATTTTTTTCAACACAATATACCTATTCAACATTTGCTTCAATTATGCCGTGAATAATTACTACGTGAATAATACGTGAATAATTACTAATTATATAATTTACCCTCTTCTAGAAAATCATGATTTCCATTGTTCTATATATTAAAGGTAAATACTTTACGGGACCATCTACATATAATGTCAAATCAAGATTTCCGCTTATATTCGATATCTCCACAGCGTATAGTTTGAAATACGAGAGTCGAGAAGGAGCAAAACATGATAACTCTTATGTGTATGTCTGTGTAAAAACTAAGATCACATCTGATTGCGCAAATTCAATGCATATCTAAATATATATATTTATAGAATGTCTCTGAAAAAGATGATTCTCTTTAATGAAAGTAACAAAGCAAAATGAGTAGAAAATTCGCAATGTAACATTAAAAACGTATATATTATGAAATTTGCATTATTATAAGACCGACTGTCTTTAGTAGCAGGTCTATTTTTTGTTGCTATACTTTTGTGCTTTATATTTTCATTCACTTTCTCTTCAAATTTAAATTTAAGCATATGCCCAAGTGACACATGAAAAATGACGTAATGTAGTAAATAAATAAATCTAGTAAAATTATCAACTGTATGTAAAATATAAAATATTTATATTATACTGAACAAATTAAAATTTTTCTTAAATGTTAACTTTTTTCTGCATATTTGACAAGAACAGAATTGAAGCTTTAGTGATTCATAATTTAATCGTGATTCATAGCAATAAAGGATCATATTTTGTTGCAATATTAAATATATATCGATTATTGCACAATAGTCATAGAATTGTCATTTCACCTCTGGATTTTAATAAATAATATAAAACATATTAATGTGTATGAAATTATCGTATTATATATATAATTTATGATAAATTGTAATGCGATAATCAATCCGTATAATAAAGGAATTAATAGCTCAAGACAGTTGTTAAACTAATATTTCCTTTGTTGTCGACTATTTTACAAAAATATATATACTTTGTTAGGTTCAAACAGTTATGATCCATGCTGCTCCATAAATTGTTTGAGAAGAGTCTTATCAAGGGGTATCATCAGATGTTCAGCACCGTCAACTGTACGTTTAGTCCGTAGTAACTTATGATCGATAAATTCTGTTAATTGTGCCCTTAATGCCAAGTCGGAACTGACTAGAAACTGTTCGCGCGCTGCTCGATATAAATTCTTGAATGGCATCCCTAAAACGACATCATATAATCGTCAAATTAGTTTGTTATTACGAAGTAACGAAAGAACGGTAGAACAGATAATTACCTGCGAAATTACTACTATTGTTGCTCAATTGACACTTGACGAGAATTAGATAAATTGATCGAGCATTTGACGTGAGAGACAGGAAGACATTCTGAAGAGACGACAACACAAGTCCACTGCTTTGTTGAACTAACAAGGAATTCTCATACGAAGTTTCTGCTTGATATGGCAACAATGTTGTCGCGTCCCACCAATAAAAATTGAACTTGGCACGTTTTATATGGTCCCAAACTGAAACAAGAAATTAGCAACATTAACTCCAGTAAATTAGCAAATTAGTCGTAATTTAGCGTGAAGATAAAAGATGTAACTTACGGAGTGGTGCATTTAAGTGATCGACAGACGCTACGACATGAATATTCCGAATGGCTGCTAAACTGGCGAGAATATTTTGAGCTTTATTCGAACGCAGCATTATCCCATCTATATTGTGGATTATTAAATAAAGTCGATCATCCGGATTATCTCTCATAACTTTTTCGATAAGATCTAAACAATCATTAGCGTTTGCTGGACAATTTAAATCCAACAGATCCGTTATTATATTATCAAGTATCTGAAATTTAATACATAACTTTTACAAATACCCTTTTAATTAATAATACTATGTACACATATTCACTTACATCTTTTAGTGTTAAGCTAGGAAAAAATCCATTTACAACCAATGTTGGATGATCTGCTATCTCATTGTGGAAATCGTTTATTAAATTCCTTTTTGAACCTATTCCATGAAGTAGCAGACTGTAGCCTTCTCTGAAATTTTTACACGTTTTAAAATTAAGTATCGTAAAAAAATATTTTCTATAAGCGTATCACTTAATACTTACTCCAATATAAATTGCCACATAGAAAAGAACGATCTACAGTTTTCTGTCAATGCACAAATACGTTGTTTATGTAATGAAGAAATATGATTTTGATTGATTAATAAATCTTCTAGTGTTTCTTCGGTAAGACGAGCGTTCCGAAGTCTTCCTAATGTACGATCAGACGTGACTGTCTTTTCCGATTGAGATTCAAAGTATTCATCTGTTTTTATATGCTTTAAATGTTAAAAAAAATAGATTAATAAAATTTGGATTTAATTAAAATATTTATATATAATTTGCTAAATATCTGAAATAATTTTGTTAATCCTAACTTACGTAATCCTTGTAAGCAACATTCTTACGTCCTCTCCCTGTTTTCTTAAGCGGACTCTGTATCTCGCGTTTTGGCAAAGATTTCAGTACTTTTTGCTTAATTCCCCTTCTATTATCGTTTTCCTTGCTTACAGAATTCTCGCTATCCTCGCTTTTATCAGAAGTTTCGTCAGACTCAGAACTGTCTTCATCATTTGAAGGTACGTATTCGCTGTCTTCCGACACGCTCTCGTCGCCACTTGAATTTACACTGGGCAAATATCGTTTTCTAGACACTAGCAGTTATCAGAAAAAATAAATGTAAAAAATGCAAATAAGTTCTCAAAGTAGCAGTAATAGGGCAAATGAGTCATGTACAGCTTTTGTGCTGATTACATTATATTATATTTAATATAAAATTTTAATAAACCAAAACGTTTCAATTCCACATTAAACCGTCTTCAGTAAGTGAAAATACAATAAAGAACAATATATAATCTGGTTGCAGTAGAATATCAAAAAAAAAAGGTTACTTGTTAAAATTTCATCTGGTTATATTTGATGGGTCATGCATATAAAGTCTAGTTTGTGTGTCCAAAAATAAAAAAAAGTTAGGCGTCAAAGTGGAACAGTTTTTTTAAAAGCAGACTTAAGTCAGTAAGTTGAAAATAATAAGAAAGAAAAGGACTGTTTTATAAAATTCTACTACAACCAGATTATTTGTTATTTATTGAATTTTCGTCTACTGTTTGAATGTGGAACTCAAATGTTTGGATTTGTTTAAAATTTTATATTAAATATAACATAATATAATCATCACTAACACTGTGCATGGCTCATTTGTCCTATTTACTGCTACTTTGTTAAATTTTTCATTCTTCTCTGAGCCTTTGAGACACTTGATATTTTCAAATAAGTTCTTTTATAATTTGTAGCAAAAATCTTTGTGAAACAGAATGTTTTACCTTTGATATTTGCATCCTTGTTGCTCGCTTGATTTTCAGTTTGCGATACAATCTTTTCAAGAACAATTCTTAGAACTGGAAGTGTCTTGAAACTTTTTGGAGTCTCGGGTGTACGGCACTGATTTGCTTTAATCATCATGCTGTTCCTTTTCGTTGGCGTTTGAAACCCATACAGCTTTCTTCCACTTACGTCTTTGTCAGAAAATAGTTCTAAGATACATTAAGATAAAATGTTATAGAATCAATATAATGTAGTGAACAATTTATATAAATCTTTATCAATTACCAAGTGGCTTCTGTATGTCCTCTTCGACATTTTCAAGCTGTTTCTCTATCTCAGCCTTTAATATATTAGCTCGTGCTGCAAAATATTAACAAGTGCTGTAAAAAACACAAGTAACACACAAGTTACACAAGTTTGAAGTGCGATACACCAAATATGAAGAATTTTCCAACAAAAAACACAGCTGACACAATGTAAAACAGAGTGAATTTTACATCCTTGCGTCCTCGTTGTTCGCCAATGTTAAACAACGAAATGATTCACTGTGTTAAACTGTGTGTCTTTTATCGAAAAACGCCCGTAGTTTGAAAATGTGGGTGAAATTTTAAAAGTATTGGACAGATTCTAGAAACGGATCTACATGAAACGTGCGTAAGTAATAACACGTATTAATATAATCTTACGAGTACTGTCGGGTGTTGTCTCATCGCTGTCCTCCACATATTTCACATTAGTTTTCACTCGCGTAGATCTCCTCAGATTTTTAACAGAAGCCATCACACTGACACAAATTTCCGCAATCAAAAATTCTGGACGTCGTGTCTAGTTTAGAGGATCGAATCTCCCGAAATGTCCGAATTTAATGTCCCAAAAGTTTTTTTGCTATGTTGTCTTATACTATTCTCATTCACATGTATGCACTGTATTCTCTATCACTCGGAGCAGTCGGAGCACTCTCCATTGCAAATTATGTTATTGTGGTTTTGGCGCCATTTGCTTATGACTGTTTCGCATAGGGGCGACAAGCCGACAAGAAGCGCCGCGGCGCGGCGCGACAACGAATCATTTTCATGTAATCCATGCGAGCGATTAATTGCCACCAATTACGTATCGACGTGGCAGAAAGCACAGCAATGGCTGCGTTTCGTTTCACACATAATGCGCATGGTGTATCATTTTATTTTTGTTGTTCATTCATTCAAATGTTAGGAAGAATTAGGGCTAATTCATACCTACATGGAAAAGCAGAAAACAGAAAAGCAAAAGCCAATCAGAACTCGCATTGGTTGTCGACAGTTTCTGCTTTCTGTTTTTCTGCTGTTCTGTTGATTCACACGTATAATCTTTAGTCCCGAAACACAATAGATGTAATAAGCCTTAAGCCGTAAGAAATGGACCAATCGCAGTCGAATGTGAAGAAAATAATCGATTACGATTGGTCAATTTCTTACGGCTTAAGCTTACTACATCTATTGTGTTTCGGGACTTAAAATTTTTCCGTAAAGACGGGAGCACAGACTTTTGCATAATGCTGCATAACGCATAAGACATAATGCATAAGAAAATCAACCAATCAGAGTTCTTCATTTCATACTCTGATTGGTTGATTTTCTTATGCCTTATGTCTTATGCAGTGTTATGCAAAAGTCTGTGCTCTTGCCTTAAGGGCGAATTCACACCTTGACAGAAAAGCGGAAAACAGAAAAGCAGAAACCAATCAGAATTCGCGCTGGTAGCAAACAGTTTCTGCTTTCTGCTTTTTTTGCTACCAGCGTAAATTCTGATTGGCTTCTGCTTTTCTGTTTTCCGCTTTTCTGTCAAGGTGTGAATTCGCCCTAACACTGCATAAGGGCGAATTCACATCTTGACAGAAAAGCGGAAAATAGAAAAGCAGAAGCCAATCAGAACTCACGCTGATAGCAAGAAAAGCAGAAAGCAAAAACTATTAACTACCAACGCGAGTTCTGATTGGCTTCTGCTTTTCTGTTTTCCGCTTTTCTGTCAAGATGTGAATTCGCCCTTACACCTTTTCTTACACCATGGTTGTGAGATTCTTCAACACGATTGATTCTTGCCGTTAGTTCTTTGGTGATCTAAATGTATAAACCAATCATATTAAAGAATTTTACTACAGTTGTTTAGGACAAATTCACACCTCGACAGAAAAGCGGAAAACAGAAAAGCAGAAGCCAATCAGAACTCGCGTTGGTAGGCAATAATTTTTTCTTTCTGCTTTTCTTGCTACCAGTGCGAGTTCTGATTGGCTTCTGCTTTTCTGTTTTCCGCTTTTCTGTCAAGGTGTGAACACAGTATAACCAGTAGGTCCACTCAGCGAAAAACTGAGTCTTCGCGCAGGTATCGCCGCGCAACTTTTGTTTTGGGTTGGATCCAATGAAATGCAAGACGATAGGAACGTACATACATATGTGCAGACAATTTATAAGCAATTACATCAGAAATTTTCTTTAGTGATCACTCCTACGAATAATTGTTACTAATAATACGTTTTATTCGATTGAATTTATTGATTATTACACATTGAATTTATTGATTTACTGTATCGAATCCATATTACTTATCTGTTTTATTACTTGTGAGGCACTTTTCTCAATTCGGTCCTGGATTTAACATGATGGATGCTCACGTGATCCGGAAAAGGAGATCAAAGGTGCCGACGGGTGATACCCGATTGACCACGTCCCGATTGACCACCAGCCACTCACAGCGCTTGAACAGTGGAAAATCTCTAGGCACCGGCCGCTGTGAGTGGCTGTGGTCAATCGGGACGTGGTCAAACGGGACGCTCCCGGTGCGCTGCCGACACGAAGTGGACCTACTGGTTATACTGTGGTGTGAATTCGTCCTAAAGCCACTTTTTCTGCTGAACGCAGCAATGTGAATCCTCCTTCAAGCGTCACCCGAGAGCTCCGCCATGAGAACCGTCGTAACGAACCATAACCTATAGCAGCTACTGAGTATTCGTGTGCATCATGCTCGTTGGTGAGATCGCTTTCGCTTTGTCTGGCTTTGTCGCAAGCGCAGTTTACACACTATAATTTAAGATTTAGAATAATTTAGACTAAAGAAAAAAATGATGGACTCCGCAGACGAAGACTCGGTGACAAAACTGAACACGCAGTTGAACAAATCGATGATATTAATGGAGGACGTCGTGGATACTCCGTCTTCGAATCACAAGCGCAAATCTATCACGATAAACACAGAGGCCAAGTCACCTAAAACGACCGGGAGCCCCGTTAAATCGCGCAAAAGCATTTTGAAAAAGTCCAACAAATCGTTGGGCGAAAGTGTAACGGATGACGAGATCGCACAGACCTCGGACGGCGGCACCGATAAATCGAACGATCTAGTGGTCAACGGATTGTCATTGCCCACTTCAATTTTGACCAGACCGCGCAATGTAAGTGACACCATTTATTTCATTTTAATTTTAAATTTTTATTGCGGTTTCGTTGTTTTTATTAATTATAATTTTAATTTATATAATTTACGTAGTTAAATTTTATTTTGTTACAATAATTATTAAGGAATAATATTGAGTAAAAGTTCTAATCTCCTATTCATCTTTAGCTTCAAGAAATAGTTGAAAAGGAGTCGCTAAATGAGGAAAATGTATCCTCTACATTTAACTTGGAGGATGTATCGGATAGTGAAGAGATTTGGATAATGGACATTCCTAGATTAGTAAGTCTTAAGAATGAAAGATTATTGGGTGGTATTCACACACAGTTCAATTTTATATTCAAAGGTTTTTTTTATTGCTGCACTAGACTGCACAAGATTTTGACTTTTTACTTTTGCGAAATATCAAATATATTTACCTACTTGATTTTAATTATAAAGAGTGTACATTTGATTATAAAAATATTTCAAGATTGTCTTAAGTCTATAACCAATTTTTTTAAAAGTTCACTCAACCATATTTTAAGTCCATATCAGAATATGCATTGGAGATTAGGATAAATTAAAGATTAGAATTTGACCAATTTAATCCATTTCTAATTGATTGAATTCTAATTTCTAATTTGCAATTCTCAATCTCTAATGTATAATTTGATACAGATTTAAAACAATATGACTATACAATGACAGATTTACATGTCACTATTAATTGAATTTATCTTCAATTCTTATTGATGTAAAATGTATAAATGTATAATTGCTAGTTAAATCCAGTTTTATAACAATTATGTTATAAGTAACTAGTTGTAAGTAGTTGATAACTACAAATGTTACTAAACTTAATTAATGACAAATGGTAATGTATAAATGTAATCAGTGTCTCAAGATTATATTTAAGACAACCTCAAATATTAAATCAAACTGGCGATATGAATATCAGCCTACGGTTGTTTTTAGTGCCTCAAAACTGGTATAATCTTGTGTGTTGCATGTAGATAGACCCGCAAGAGCTTCATGGTCAGACTATAGTCTTTGAGGATAAGTCAAAGTTTAGAATTAAAGATGAACGATATTGCATCGTCGCTCACAACACGAGCCATAATGTCACATGTGTTTTTAATTCCAAAAAGGACACTCCACAGTATAAGACTGGTAAGAAGCTTTTTAGGAATGAAAAAGAAATTGTTTCTTTGTCACATTATCTCCTCTTTATTATGTGTATTAATGCTGATATTTCCTGTACAGTAAATATCAAGCCAGCTGGCTTTTTAACAGTAAGGAGAAAACTGTCTGGTGCGCCAGAACTAAAACCGGTATCTACAGAGAGCTCTGTCGTGCAGTTTCCTGACAATTTAAAAACAAGGCATCCACTGCTTGGCGTTATTCGTGAACGTAAGAAGAGGTCGAAGAAACGTAGCTCGATTAAAGAAAACTAGAAATTAGAATTTGAATATAACTTGAATTTGCTTTAAGGCTTTTCTGTTTAATCGTCACTGCTATCTCAGATTGTGACGTCAGAAGCGAGGAAATATATACACACAAATTCTTGCAATATATATTAAAATGTGGAAATATTTCAAAAACAGCACTTGCAATCGATAGAACTGACTTGTAAAATATACTGAAAATCCTTTTGTCTCGTTAATTAATAAATACATCTAGGAATGAATTATGCACAAAATTGTTCCCAACTATGACAACTGTCTCTCAAATTAATAATATATAGAAATAATTCTTCCCCCGAAATAAAAATAGATAATTCTCGTTATATTTTATAAGTCTATTTCGATTGCAAATGTTTTATTGAAACATTTCTATTTGAATATATTTTGCAAGAATTTTTATTATTTTTTCGCTTCTTACATTACGAGTGAAGTAGTGGTGAATGAACAAAAGTCTTAATTCAAATGATTTGTAAAAGAAAAAATAAGAAAAAGTTTGGTACAAAAAAATTTATTACAGAATCTGCCAAAATTTTTACCTTGTTACGCACTAAACAACTATAAATTTATATTTATGTAAGTATAGGTATTTACATTTTTTAAAAAGACATGTTTGCAATGTTAATACCGTATGATAAGAATAATACTCTGTATATTGTAATTGTCATAAATATACAATATTTAATTTGTAATATAATATATTATAATCTTTCGTATACTGTTAAAATCACTATTAAGGATCGCGATGTATCATCGCCTGCATGATAGTCCCTAAAAAAGTTTGAAACTGAAAATATTTATACTTTTTATATTTCTAAAAACGAATATTAAAAGTATACCTATACATAATTAACGATTACGTAAGCATCATCTTTTTATGTAATAATATATTTTTATAATTTATTATGTTTGCTATTATTTTTTATTGCTATATTTTAACTGAAAAATTAATAGTAAATATAATGAATAAACTATAAAAATGTATGGTTAAATAAAGGTATGATATTCGAACAATTTTTTCATATGTATATATAATTTTAATATTTATATTTACTATACGCCACAGATGCACCCTGTGTACTTGGCTTATTATTTTTTACCTTTTAGCTTTGTAATAATTTTACAATTATTAAACTATATAATCTGATGTTTGACAAGCTGTTAAAATCGAGCGGAAATCGTGTAAGATACACGATTTCCGCTCTGACAGCTATTCTCGCAGCACGAATGAATCGGAGCACCAATCAGCATTACGAATTGAAAATTCCGACTAATCAAATCATTTAAATTTTCATCCAGCTGTTTTGTTCGGTCGAATTCTAATCTCTAATTCACAATCCTCGCGTCTCCAATGTGACACAGATTTTACCGCCGACTATAAATTACAAATTGGAGATCGAGTAATAAGCAGTAAGCGAATCGACCAATTACAATTGAGAATGTTTTTTTGTGCTCTTAGGATTTTTTAGCTTCGGATATAAATTATGTGTAGTAATAACTTATCCATTAGGTAGATTAACACACAATTGACACAACTTATCCGAAGGTTGAACCGCGCCACCCTTACAATTTTTATACATACATATAAAATTTATATCGTTTTCACATCATATATATAGTTGAAATATTTATTTTTACATTACAACTTACGACTGTAGATCGTGAATTATTTGTGACAATACTAAAACCATCAATTTCAGGCTGAAACCGTTTCGAACGGCGGAAGTCGCCTAGAGGAATTGGCGCGCATTCATTGGCTGCATCGATCTGGCGTTACGTACTTCCGTTTAACCGCGCGCGAGATGCAAACGCCAGTCGTGCGGAATCCAGGAAACGGCGATAAATAAAAGCAAAAGCACGTCCCCGCGGGGACGATGATAAACGGCTGCACTTGTACCGCAAAGTCAGAGCGGCGAATCACACACAAGTATCGATTCCTCCCCTCATCTCGCGAGTCCTCGCGACAGCGCCGACTGAACGCCGACAGGCCGACAGCGGCGACAGCTAGTGACATCGCGCGCGACGCCTAGGGGAGAAGCCGCGGCGGCGCGTGCGACATCCGGGCTCGCGCGCAGCCGCGGACGCGCACCACCACCACCACCACCAGCAGCAGCAACCAACCACGGGTCCCGGCCGCCGGAGACAGTGCTATAGGAAAAATTTCCCAGTAGAGAGAGAGATTTGTTAGCGGAAAAGTCGTGAGTCGATGTAAGTAAATAAAGGGACCGTGTGCGGGATACTCGGCTCGCGTGTGGAAGCGACGCGCGCGTTGCGGGCAGGACGTGTTTGACGGTTGCGGAGACTTTAAGCGTGCGCGAGAGAAAAGAGAGAAGGAGAGTTTCGACCCGGGGGGAGGGCGCGCGCGAACACCCGGAGGGAACACCCGCGCTCAGGGCGATCGACGTTCGTCCGTCTCTCGCTCGGCCCCCAAGGATCTCGCTGGCCTCGGCGGTTTATTAAGGTTAAAGTGAATCGCGCGGAGGGAGGTAGATACGTGCGCCCGTGGCCTCTCGGGCAGCAACCCCTCTGGCGGATGGATCGCGGAATCTCGCGTGACGTTCGCGATGCTGCGACGATCGCCATCCTCGTCATCGGCCGTCCGCCGTCGCCGTCGTTGGTGCGCCTCGACTGGCGCGCGATCGCCTCTGCTCGCGTTTACATAAATAAATGGAGAAACCCGGATCAGGTCGGGGCCGTCGTCGGGGCGCGTCGTCGCGGGGGGCAGGGCAGGTCGCGCGAGGCCTAGTCTCCCGCGGGATCGTCTCGTGCCCTAGTCTGGAGAGGGAGAAAAATGTGTCGAGAGAAAGAGAGAGAGAGGGAAAGAGAAAAACACGCAGGTAGATGTACGCGAGCGAGAGAGGCGAAAAGATCAAGATTGAGATTGACGAAGAAATAAGATTGGGATCAACCAAAGTAGAAAAGCTCGCTTCCCTCCTCGACGATGTGACTCGATAGAATGGCAGTTCATCTCTTTCGCTCGTCCGCCTCGTCGACGACACCGTTCTTCCTCCTCCCTACCATCCATCCCTCCCTGTGACCCTTCTTTCGTTCCTCCCGACCGCCCCCTCTCTGTCCCGCGCTTCAAAATGTTTCTCTCTCTCTCTCTCTCTCTCTCGCCCACTCGAATCGCGACGAGGTTTCCTCCCTCACGGACTTTCTCTCTCTCTCGTCTCCCGCGAAACGTAGATCGTCATCGTCGTCCTTGCGTACTCGTGGCCTCTACGAGGCGAACGAGAAGCGGAATTTACGTGTCATGCCCCACCACGGCCACGCCGGGGCCTCTACACCACTCTACACCCGCGCGCGGTAGAGAGGATTTTCACGTAGGTTTCTGTTATGGCGTAGCCAGGCCGCGGGAGTACCTCTCTCACTCGCACACACACCCGCCTGAGTGTGTTTCTCCTCGCGCCCGCTTGGCCCTCCGCGCCGAGCCTCTCGCGCTCGCGGACGCCACCAACAGCTGTTTCGCCCGATCGTCGCCCTCTCATTATGTACACACGGTCTCTCGTGTTTTCGCATTCGCGCGAAAGACGGCGAAAGGCACGGAGAGGGACGTTGAGGAACGCGTGAGAAACTTGTGGAAAGCGCGAAGGAAAGACAAGAGAAAAGAGAGGAGACTCTCCCGTGCACAGGATTTTTTTTCTCTCTCGACTTCCTCCCCCTTCCGCCAGTCGGTCGTCGACAGTCGTCGACGACCTCGATGTCCGTACGGACGGTGAGAACCAACTCCCGTCTCACTTCGGGATGCTCGGCAAGAGAGAGAAAGAGGAATTGAAAGAATGACGTCGTCGACCCTCCGTCTCTCTCTCTGTGCGTAGGGCGTCGCGCGCGCGCGAGCGAGCGAGCGAGCGGCCTCGTGCGTAATCGCGCGAGAATTCCGGTGTGCACGTCTCCTTTGTTCACTGCACCTCTCTCGCCATTCGTTCTCTTTCTCCCTTCCCCCGCCCGCCCCCTCCGTCCCCTCCCACTCTCCCCTCCGTTTTCTTTCTCTCTCGCGCGGATCTGACAGCTCCTGTCAAAACGGAACTCGCGCGGTTCGTGACCTGTCGTCGCCCTTTCGCCTCCGCTCCGCCGCGGCTCTCGCTCTTGTTCTCTCCTCTCCTCCTCCTCTTCCACCCTCTTTCGCTTCCACCCGCTCGCACCTGTTTCGATCTGATAAGCGGGGAGAAGCGCGTGGGAGTGCGGCTGAGGACAGACGAGAACGCGTTTCCTTCGCGACGACACTGACTCGCCTCTGACGTCTGCTGGCCTCTCTTCTGCGTCGCGCAAAAGTTGCGCTCGCGCGCGTGTCCACGTTTACGTTTGTACTGTCGTCGAGCGAGCGGCGGGGAGAATGCTCGGATCGAGCGACGACGGAACGGAACAGAAACGCGTCGATCGCGAGTGCGAGACGTAAAATCCGGCGACACACGTTCGACAAGCGAGAGAGAGAGAGAGAACGCGGATGGTGTTAACGGTTCGCGTCCATCTGTTTCAGATCAGGAAAAAGGTAGCAGCGTGTGTGAAGGTCCGTGAGCACTGTCAATTATTCACCACCAGCGGGGTGACGACTTTGCATGTAAGTTCCAAGTGGCATTTACGGACGGCTGCGACGCGAAATTCGAAGGCTGTACGACACACCGCGGTGTAGTCGCGCGGATAAACAAAGCAAATAATCAAGAGACGTGATCATCAGGCGTTAATTGTGCATACGGCGCACGTACATCTCTTGTGACTCGTGTGTGTTTTATTTGCAGACTTTGGCACTCAAATATTCGTAATTTGCTGTCTTGTGATATTCACGGGATCGGCGACGAGGATGTCAGTATTGAATCAAAGCGGCGAGGATGCGGTGGAATGCCCTCTGTGTATGGAGCCGTTGGAGGTGGACGATCTAAATTTCTTCCCGTGCACCTGCGGATACCAGATATGCCGGTTCTGTTGGCACAGAATCCGTACCGACGAGAACGGCCTGTGTCCCGCGTGTCGAAAGGCCTATTCTGAAAATCCGGCTGACTTTAAACCCCTTACCAAGGAAGAAATAGCAAGGTAATTCGCACGGGAGTCTGTTACTGCCAGCATATGAAGCAATTTTCCAACTGTCGTCCAAGCTTCTTTAACAAGTATTGATTTTTGTCCCTGATGATTTCTCATCTGGATCTAAATGTGTATAAAACTGTCGTGTTAAACTGTCATCTTACAACAGTTGCAAAGCTTGCCTCATTACGATACGTGATTCGGCCATGAATACATATTATTGGAATAAATGTACCCTCTCTGCTGCCTTTTAGATTGAAAGCCGAGAAGAGGTTAAAAGATCAACAACGGAAGCAGAGAGTTACAGAAAATCGGAAACATCTAGCAAATGTGAGAGTAGTACAAAAAAATTTAGTGTTTGTAGTAGGATTACCAATGCGGCTGGCAGATGCTGATGTGAGTATGGCGCGATAATACAAGTGTTCTATAAGTGTATCGATAAAACACGATGAGCTCTGCAAATACCATATCTTTAAGAGAAATAAAAAGTTTATGAGATTCAACAATTCGCATGCTCTAGGTTTTAAAGAAACACGAATATTTTGGGAAATTTGGGAAGATACACAAAGTCGTAATTAACCAGAGTACTTCCTATGCAGGGTCTCAAGGCCCCAGTGCTTCGGCTTATGTTACTTATCAAGTAAGTTACTTTTTTTTCCTTTGTAAAAAATGTAAAAACGACGATTTCTTGTCACGGATTCCCGCGAGTGGGACAAAAAAACTTGTGTAATAAATATCCGCGTAAGCGATAACATTCTTCACGTTGTAACAGCGTCAAGAGGATGCGCTACGTGCTATAGAGGCTGTGAATAACATTGTTGTGGACGGACGGACAATAAAAACATCTTTAGGAACGACGAAATATTGTTCGCACTTTATGCGTAACCAAGCCTGTCCAAAGCCAGATTGCATGTACCTGCACGATCTTGGGGACCAGGAGGCATCGTTTACCAAGGAGGAGATGCATCAGGGTAAACATCAGGAGTACGAGCGCAAGCTCGTGCAGTCGTTACATGCACACGCGTCTTCAGTTCAACGGTATAAAAATCAGTTTCGTAAAAATAATTCCTCCGAGTCCAGTTATGAGACGTAAAGCGAATTTTAATTTTCGTTTGCGTAGAAAACCGACGCCATCGCCACCTGTTACGGGCAGTATTGTTAGGGAAAGTGGGACCGTAAATTCGCAGACTAAAGAAGCATGGCCGTCGTTGCAACCTGGACAGACAAATAGTGAGTAAATCTGTCTGTCCACGGAATACACATTGTTGAAAATTTTGAAATTTTTGATGCTAATAACGTATTTAACGTACTTTGTTTTTAGGTACACAAGGTAAAGAAATATTGCCACCTGCGCAAACAACTTCACAACACAGCAATGTAACGAGCGGAAACGGCACGGTAGCTCAACAAAGTCACATTTCCTCCGGGATGTCTACGCATCAACAAAACAACAATAACAAGGGTGAAAGTGGTGTGGGTGTAAGGCGGGGTAAAAGTAATAGCGAAAGTAAAGCGCAGGCAGCTCGGAATAAACATAAAAATAGTCAAAATAAAGAGAAGCACGGTACTCGTACGACGTCGCGATCTGAATCAAGCTCAATCAACAACACGCAAAATAGTTCACAGACGCAAATTACTGGACAAAAGGACGTTAGAAACTTTTCCGCTGATACGAACAGTGAAATGTTGCAAAAATTGGGTAACAAGTGTAAAATGGAACAACAGCAGCTTCAGCCACAGCCACAACAAATTAGCAACAAAACATCAAAATTAGTTCAATTACAGTCTCACGAAGTTAATGTAAATGGTGCATTTCAAAATGGGGAACGTCGGCACTCGGACAGTGAAACGGATCAACAGCGCGAAGGTAGCACGCCAGCGAGTACGATCTCGAGCACAGAAGACTCGAATGTAAATCACCAAGCCGAGCACTTGGCTGAATCAAGCGAGGAAAACAGTGGTGCTGTTCTTTTGGGTGAGTTCTTTAGCCTGATCCTTTTCGCTGCTACACACATCTCCTTTTTCTTTTTCCTTTTCATTATATTTATCTCTCTACATTTCCTGGTAAACAAATTCTACGTGTGAACGTTTTTTAACAGATTAGGAAGAAAGCGTTACAAAACTATTTTTGGTTCATTTAATTTGTAATCAATTTCTACTTTTATTTGATGATACGATTATTTTTGAGTTGTGATTTGCCATTAATACTGTTGGCAGGGCTATCTTTTATTGATTATTTTATGTGTTTGCATAAATAAAGTAGTTTCAAATGAAGTATTTGAATAAATTGTCATTGTAACATATTCATATATGTGTGTATATATATTATATATACAATATATAATACATATGTTTATAGCATTAATATAAATTTGTTATTGGAAATCAGGAAAAGCTTGTGTTCACCACAATGGAAATAATAAAGCTATAACATGGCATAATGTTAATCATAATATTTGTAATGAATTCAGAAAATTTGCTCTTGTCCTTCGTGTTGAATATATAATCTAAAATTTGAGCGCACAACAAATAATATATTTTGACTATATTACTTCTGTAAAATAACAACGTACGCATTGAATAATCTATTGATATATGCCAAAATAAAGAGAATTCTTGGAAAAAGATCAGTAATAGCCGTTTTTTTTTTGTGTTTTGTGTACACTTAAATGTTATATATATTCCTTATAGATTTCCGATGAAAAATGCTGGCGTTGGGCCAGCTTGCCTGACAAAATTCACTAATTGAAACTGATCGAAAGTGATTGTATTTTTCAAAATTATACGAGTGTTGTATCCAAAGAAATACTCTTGTTACTGTGGAATGCACAACCTATGTAATTTTACGTGACGTGCGTGTAAATATTTCTCGAGCAAAGAAATAGATTGAACAGCTGTTTATTCTGGCATTATAAGAGTATAGAAACAATTCTGACCGCGCCGTGTAGTATAGAGATTTTTGCGCATCATCTCGTAGGTTCGTCTCCAGCTAGCACAAATTCATCACAAGGTGCCAATCAACCACCGCCACCGGGGCTACACAATGGATCTCAAATGCAACTCAATCATCGGTCGATCTTTCAAGCGGACAATAATAGTTTCTTCAGTTCGAATACCTTCCAAAAAATACCAACTACCAACACCTCAATGCCACCAAATTCCCTCGCAGGTGTGTATAATAAGCTCAATATATTTGTGTTACGCAATTTGCGTTAGTTTTCTTTACAATGAAAATTCTAAACAAGATCATATTTTGCTTGCTAAAAAAAAAGGCGTTATAAAGAACTATTATTAAAGTTTTAAAATTTAAGATCTAAACACTTTATACAAATTTTGTTTTTATTATACATTTCACACATTTTCCATTTTTCTACGTTATCGTAATCAAGTTTTTTTTTTGTAATTATTGGTATGTTATTATTGATACATAGCAAACGCAAATCTAGATTGGACAAGCACAGGAGTGGCTACAATACCCGATTCCTTGCCGACGGTTCATTCTAGTGAAGATTGGCAGGCTGCTTTCGGCTTTCAACCCGAATCATCTCGAACGAACCACATTATATCAAAATCCAGTCCGTCTGATTCACCGAGAGTAACATTCAATTCCGAGGGCTTTGTAGACGAAGAGGTTTATATAAATGCACCTTACACCGCTACACTCGCAGAACCATCATCTGGTACCTTTACATCTAACTTACTTGTAAATTCACCCGCATCTAAGTTTATGGCAGATTATCAACAAAATTCATTACAACAAAGGCTTAATATACAGGTGAGCGAAAGAAAAGTTTTCGAATTGTGTGTATAAATAAAAACTAAATAACAATGCGTTGTTGGTACAAAAAAATTTTTACTGAGGAAAAATATGTTACTAATGTTACAAAAAATTTCTAAGGCACAACAAAATCAAGAGAATTGTGAGTACATAAAACAGAACGGCCACGCTACAATCGAGGAAGTTCGGAATCACTGTGACGCAGGCTCAGACGTTAAAGCGGACGACGATTTAGGTTTCGATCCTTTTCACGAAACGCAGAAAGCATTAGCGGAACTTTTAGAAGACGAGATGCAGGTGCAACAGCAGAAGATATTTCAGCAACAACAGCAACAGAGAGAAAGGGAGGAGCACACTAGGGTGCAGCATCAACAAACTCTTGCGAGCCTTAATCAGCAACACTTTCCGCAAGTAAATATCCGTATTGAAAAGTTTTCTTTCATTTCTTGTTAATTCGATAATTGCACATAACAAGATTATTTCACTTTTGGTATTAATAATTAATACGGTTAGCAAGATTACATTTAACCTTCGATAATACTTTCTGTTATTTTTTTTTGTAATACATGTATTTTTTTCCAAATTTTTAACAAATTTTTTATTAATCTTTTTATTGTATTTTAATTATATTTTGAAATGGACTGATAAAACTGCGTCAAGGAGTCATGTCAGAGCATAGAGAGAGTCATGCAAAACGTATGTAGTTGTTGATAAAAAAAATTGTTTATTCTTTTACAATGGTGCGTCATAAAAGTTAGATTTCTACATTTTTTTTTGGGAGGTTCTGTATAATTGAGTACTTTACATAAAATTTATTTAAAATGAACTTGAAGAGGTCTTATCGAATGGCACAATAAAAAGTTTTTTTTTTTTAAGAATTTAAAACTTTTTAAAAATAGGACAGAATGCACATAAAGGATTGAAGTTTAAATGTAGTGCCAATAATTTTAAAATAAATTTAAAAGGAAAATTTGGAGAAAAATATCTACATGTATGTATTTGTGCGTGTTACTAAATACAATTTACAACTTTAAACTTTAGATTTCTCTATGGCAGTCTGTCCTACTTAAAAAGAAATTGTAAAAGCTGTTTCTACATATATTGTGCTAATTGATGAGAAGATTCCCTTAAATGTATTTTCACCAATGTAGATTAATTTTAATCCTCAGTTTAACTCACTTTTTATCTTTTTCTAATCCTCAGATCTAGAGAAGGATAAAAAGTAAGTTAAATCAAGATTAAAGTTAATCTGCTTCCAACTGATAGAAATTGGTGGACATTAAGGAAACAAATGTTTTTCTAGGTTGCGCACATAGCGCACTTGCAGCAACAAGCCCAGCACTTGCAAAATCTACAGGTGCTTCAGTCGCATTCCCTCTTGTCCCGTCTTCCGCAAAATCTGTTACCAAGCGGTGCGCAGAGCCCTGCACAAGGCACTGTGACGGCTACCAGTTTAGGACAGCGCAGTCGACTCCCGCCACCGGGCTTTCCTGGTTCCACGCCAAATCACATGAACTCATTCGGTCTCGGTATACCACGACCAGCACCAACGAATAGTGCCCTCTCTGGTTAGTGTTCCACCAATATTTCCAGGCATCGGGAATCATAGTGCACAGTGCGTGAAGTTTACATACGTATACGATAATCTATCGTAGCCGTAGACACGAAATTATATTAATTCGCGGATTTCTATACGAAAAGTGCAAAAGCTCTGTGTAAAGGTCTGTCGGATCTATAAGCAAAAAGAGATGTAGATCAATGGAACGTTGCTATTTATTAACGTCTGTCTCCAACCATGTTATCTTTGCAGGAGCGCAACCACCTCAGCAGAGTGCGTACCTTCCAAACGGAAGTCCGCTTCTCAGCACGCAAAGTAATAATTTTAACCTTCGATATGATTGGATATTTTTAATATATTTGTAAATTTATATCCGGATAAATTTTCCGTTGCAGACATAGGCAAGTGCACGGGTGACGCGGTTTATACCCTGAAAGATTGGTGCGAAATTAACAATCAACAACAGCAGCAGCAGCAGCAACAACAGTTTCACCATCAAGCGTTGCATCAAAAAGGATGGAACAATTTCGGACCTATCGCAGATTGGACTTCGATTGATCCGGCTATAGTTACTTCGTCTAGACCACTTCCATTCCAAACTACCAACGCTTGGCAATTTCCCCATATTCATCCTTCTCATGTTGTAGCCCACAACGCGCAACAGGTACCAAATATTTTGTGTGTATGTATTTTTGACAATTTGAACTTTGTTATTCATCGTAGAGTAAAAACGTCTGAATTTTATTTGATTTATTCTATACAAAATACATTTTATATAATACAAATATATTTTATACATCGACGGTACATGCAGACGTAACACAATTCACATCTCCCATGCGTAGGAACAGAACGCACCTGCTCAACATTGGGCGATGCAACCACCACCCGGCTTTGCGGCACCCACGACCACAGGACAGTTGAATAATCCGCAGCCGAGCACGACCGCACAACCGCACACCAAGCTCATCTCTGCAGGATCAGAAATCGAAAGTAAGTTGATCGCGATCAAGCTCCGTGCAAACTAAAATACAAAGAAAAAAGAAAAAAAGATACCTTATACAATGCGCGGTTTCGAGATATATAGGCTGTCTATATTGCAGACCTATAAGTCTAATGCGTGAGGCGAACGAGTCGAGGCGTCATAATGTGTATCCGGATGTGGCAAGATCAAATCCAGCAAATGAAAGAAACAAAAAAAAAAAGAATACGACAGTCGATAATGTACGTTTTCCTAACGCTTCTATTAATCTCAAAGTTTTATTTCAAATCTCCATTTATTTGTGCGAGTTTATTTACTCGAGTGAAAAACAAATATCGGAATAAAGTATGTGAGTTAAATGCGTACTCCTCGATGTAAGCGAAGATTATACGTCAATATATCTTCCTCATGATATTATCATTTCTGAATTATAGCAAAATTTATCATATTTAAGTCTGACTATCGTTATAAGCGAAGTTTATGTAGGATATGAAAAATATTAAAAGGATAAATGAATTAAGATATCAAGAAATGATTGCGAATATTTGAAAGTGCATTTCCTTTCTGAATTCTTATTAAAGGAACATTATTTTTTTTTCCATAATTAAAATTGAACATTGAACATCCTGTGTTTATAAGCTTTGTGAGATTAAAAAGACACACACACACGCACACACACACACACACAGCTGAAAACTATTAGAATGCAAATGTAATGAAACTTCTTGAAATATTATTTACTTTTATATCTGTCATAGTTAAAAATGTGTTTTAAATTAAAAGCTTTGTTATCATATATCCAGAAATTCTATTGTTAAATCGAAATGAATTGTTATACATGTATGTATATGTGTACCTAATGGTACGGTACTATTGAGATCGCCTTATATATACATATTTTGCTATTTTATAATATTGCTTTTATCACGTTGAAATGTAATTAGTGCGTTTTATCCAGTCGTTTTAAAAGAAAAGAATTTCTTATCATTGAGCAGGATGTAATATGACATGATTTTACTGTTGCTGCAGTAAAATAATAAGTAGAATTTTATTATCTTTGCATACACGTAAATTTTCTTCGGATGCGTCAACACACATTTGTGATATTATGGGGCACGAACTCGTTATTTAGAAAAATGAAAAGACTAAGAATTAGGATTTCCTAACTTAGCTTTGATAATCATTTTAACGAATATCTTGAGTTGTGAATCAAATTGATTGAATACACAGGTCATATACAGGATTATCTGTATTAATCGAGAGAGAGACTAGCGATATTTCCAATCTCGCGACAAGATCGACGTTAATGTATCAATATCGATTATAAGGAAAACTACAGGTGACTGTTCGACAAAAAAAAAATTAACAACGCGACGATGTATTTTATTTACGAGTGCGAGACGCGAGAGAAAGGAAAGAAAAAAAACAAGGGTGGGTGGGGGAGAGAGACTATTAACACACACGATATGTATGATAAACGATGATGCGAGAGAAACGTCTGAGCGATGTACTACGATGTTTCATACGGCGCGAATTATACGTTGAAACGAGAGTTATTCCCGTGGCAGACGATTGTCGAGAGTATCTCTGCCGTTTTAAAGGCGAAAAACGAGAGAACGTCATATACACAAGAGAGAACGAATGAGATAATAAAAGTATAATTATTATAAAATTTAATTCAGTAAGATAATCGAGAAATATACGATAATGCGCAATGAAGTTCCTGTGTGGTAGTTCTATTTTCATCTCTGCATCCCTTATCTAATATTTTCTATCAATTTTATTAAACGTTACAGGTTAAAATGCTTCGTTTTCTTTCGTCGGTAATTAGTTCAAAGATCTTGAGAAAAAAAGATCTACGTGCTAGTAAAACGATTAACTTGTGCATACCTATACACACACATATATATACATATTGAACTTGCAAGTTATTCAACGACCTTCAGCTATTTACTGTTTGCAGTTAGAAGTTTCCTGCGTGCACTGAGGATTCTTGATGGTGTATTCTCCCTCTAAGAAGTTGTTGCTGTCTAATATGTTGCTATTTATAAAAACGCATTCCGTTACATTATTCATTTTAGTACGCCTGCTATTTGGAAGCCAAGAAGAAAGCCATTGCAAAGAGGATGATCTGGAAAAAAATGTCAAGATATAATAAGTGATATAACAGTCGCAAAATAACAAAAAAAATCTGTACACTCAAGTAATTTTGTTTATATTTGAAGAAAGAAAAAGGGAATTGTTTTTCTGGGAAAAAAAAATAAAAAATAAAATAAAATATGCATGCGATATAATATCTTGTATAAAAGTGTGTAATTTGACAAGAAGACTTTTCAGGAAAACTCGTAAAAGTTGAATCAAGATGTAGTGCCAAAGAAAAAGGGACTTACTCCTTAGGATCACCACGGTATCCACAATTATCTTCTATCATAGCGGTTATATACTCGACAGATTTGCTATGTGAGCAAGCGACGTTTACAGCTGAAATGCGAATTTATTTTATATTTACAATCTTCTATCGCTTTTTCCTCGTCATTCTAGCAAACATTCGCAACGTATCCCTTCATACGCAACAATTAATATGCAATTGATCTCTCACCCATGCATCCTGGTTGCGTTGTTCCGTCTCCGAAGTACAAGTCGAGGTGACCTACAGCCCTCCCTATCCCAAGAGGTGACGTGTGAAGAACCACTACATGTTCGGCATCGGACTTGCAGAATCTGTCCTCGCATTTCTTGTAACCTAACAACGGATCTGCGGGATCGGCGGCGATGAGAAGCGTAATATTGCCTTGGCTCTTCTGGATTGATTTTGCGGCCAAACCGGACACGTGCGCGCCAAGACTGTGACCCATGTATGTAATGTTTTCCAATGGGATACCGCATTTGATCAAGAACTCGGTATATCTACAAGAAAAAATTCAATAGAATATCATGGACATCTTTGATATATGTAAAATAGTATAATCTAGTATTACGCTTATTTTGCATTAGCTGTATTATGTATGTTCAATGATTAAAATTGGGCGTATTTCAAACCGATAAGGCGGTCTGCGAATCGCGAGCGTCAAGCGATTGAACACGAGAGATTGGTTCTGATAGATGAACCACATTCAATTGATTCAATCGCTTGGCGGGCCACTTCGTCCGGCTTGAACATGGCTGTTGTTTTAATGATCAATCTTTTTTTTTTTTTTTTTTTAAATATAGTTACCTTGCCATCAAATGACTTATATCATGAATGTTAACCACCGCAAAGGGATAGTTCAAAAGCTTAACGAGGGGGATTCCATCAGTGCAGGCTCCTTGTGACCAGTCCAGCGCAAATACCGTATTGCCTTTCTGTGAAAGCAGAAAATTATTTAATTAAATTCTTGTGATTACGTCAAGAATTCGTCAAGAAATTAATTCACCAACTTACTTCTTCACTATAGTTTATAATTTACTTTTGCATTGAAATAAGATTTTGGTCTTTTATAGATACGTTGTACATACTTTGATTTCAATTATGCGAATGTGTATATCTACCTCTGCCAATCGCGAAGACAGCTCCCGAAATATGGTCGCATTTGCGTAACTGATGAAGCCGTGGACTACAAAGAATATCGGCTTCGACGGATCAATATTATCACAGATCTCATTTTCCGCGATAACTTTGCCTTGAAACTTGCTGAAAGAAGTAATGAGTATAATCGGCAGCAGCGAACAAATGGAATTAACAATAATTATTCGCAACTCTTTTACCTGTTGTACAGATATATCGACATCGATTTAACGCCGAAGATACAGGAATCCGAATGCAAAATTTCGCCTATTTCTTTTCTGAACCCCGGTTTAGGTTCGGCACGTAAATGCGTGCATTGCGCAAGGAAAATTACGAGTATCGCAGCGGCCGTCCTCATAGCGTGCAAAAAGGGAATATTTAACGAAATCGAATCGAGAAGGGAAGTCGACAGAGAAACGCGGAATCAAGTGTTGTTGCAATTAAAACTTTTTTACGTTATACACAAGTATGTTTTACACTTTTATACGCGCACAAGTATTGACATTTGAAACATTACTACTGCAGACAGCTGTGCAAATTGTTTAACGAGCAGTGGAAAAATACGCGGAAGTGCATTTTATCGTATCAATATTGCAGTGACGAATGGTCAACAATATCAACACTGACCACCGCGCGCATCTCTTCCTTTTGCAATTCGCTTTTATTTCTGACATTATGCGGCAATAAAAGATGACAAAGTGCCGCACAAACAAAATTCCTTTTAACGTGAACGATCCTTGATGTTAAAATTATCGGCACATTACATAATGCGATACACTTGTCACGCGTATGTTCTCGCGCGATTTACGTCGTTAAATTAAATTAAATGTTTTGTTGAACGAAAAAATTTTTACAGATTACGATTTCAATGATCGTATATATACTTTCAGGAGATATACATGCCGAAAATCGTGAACGGCAAATCCTCGACGGGATTTCCCGCAAAGCAGGTCGCAAAGTTCTTGACGGTGGGCATTCATGTTCGTAGTTATAAGTTTGCAAGGATGAAATTTGCATACTTTAAATTCACGAAATAATCGTATCGCGCGCGCTGAAATGTAAGTAAGTAGTACATAATAAGCAAAGGATTTGCATATATAATGCTGATTTGCTTATATAATAGATTGCTGAATATCCTATCTTAAAAAAAAAAATTATATATATATATATATATATATATATATATATCGAACAATAAGAGAGCGAAGTATTTTAAAGATTTTCAGAGAATTTTGAATGGAGTATTAATAATGGATAATGTCAGAACGCAATTTAATTTTATTACCAATTGCAAATTTAACTTGTGTCCATTTCTACCAATGTAGATTAACTTTAATGTCGGTTTTATTTATTTTTTATTTTCTAATTCTTAGAATTCTAGAAAAAAAAAAAAATAAGTTAAACCAAGATTAATCTACATTGGTAGAAATGGCTATTAGACAAAATCTGAAAATTATTGTTATCTACAGACTATTTAAATATTCTAATAATTTCAATATTAGGTACAAGAAAAGATTATTTTACTTTAACTAAGCAAAGTGATTGGAATAAAATAAGGATTGGTTCGCGCGCGAAAGAATTTAAATCTCGTACACTATAAACGTGAAGTTGTCCGGGCAAAAGAATATAACAGTTACAGCAATTATTAGATATGTAAAATATATTTCTTCATAAAAAGTGCTTTTAAAATTAAATACAACGATCTTTAGTTCTAAATCTATTTATTAGATTTTAAATGCCAAAAAATGAGAGAAATGGATGGCTGTGGAGAAAAAACAAGTTTCTTATTCTTTGGCTAATTACGCTAGAAATAAATAAATATTCCAGTAATCAATTTATAATTCCAGTATATTTAAATATTCCAGTAATTTAATATCTATAAAATTTATAACAAATACAACAGAAAGATTATTAATTAGAGTAGTTGAATAAAGTTAGAATTGATTTATGTGCGCGAAAAGTAAAATCACGCATCGTAAAGTTGTTCAGGCACAATACAATAATTGCAACAATTAATAGATATTTATATTATTCTTTTATAAGAAACGCATTTAAGATTAAATGCAGCGATCTATTATTTATAGTCATCAATTTATAAATTAGTTTTACGCGCTTTATTCCAGAATATTTAAATATTCAAATGATTTTAATAATAAATACAACTTGCAAAAAAATGATTTATTGATTAATTAATTAATTAATTATTCAGCTTTTTTGAAATTAACGCAAGTAAGTAAATTGTTTACGCAGGTGAGAATTTAGATCTCGCACACTATCGAAAGTTCGGACGTAAACGATATAAATTGTATAAACAATTGCTAAATACTTGAAATATATCTTTTTCATAAAAAATGTATTAATTATATAATTACCTCTATGGTTTCATCCAAAAATCGCTCCGACTTGTATCTTTCGACCCTTCCGATACCTTCCAGCTTCAGATCCTGTCTGATATATGTAGGTGGAAAAACGATATTGCGCGACTTGAAGCGACGGCAACTATCGAAATGTATCGAATCGAATCGCGCGAGACGATACGATCGAAGGGTTAAATATTACAGATTACTTATTTGGTTATGTCGGTATTGTCGACGGAATCTTGGCTGAGAATTGCATTTTCACACGAATTTCCGATATTATTGTTAAACGAATTGATTGTAAAATTACATTATTCGATCGCGGCTCGTTTCTCGACACAGTTAAAAGTATCCTTCGGATAATCATGGTGGAAGAGGTTCAAAAGAAGCTTCAGAATGAAGCCGACACTCTAAGACAAATCCAAAAAGGTTATGAGACGTTCATAAATATATGTTTTTCTAGAAAAATAGCGTAAATTTTACTTTGTACATCTCGTTACTTTTAACTCTACGTTATTCGAATAACTTTTAATTATTCGCGTGTTTCTAGCAGCCCAATATTTCAATTTTCATTGTCCTCTTTAATGATTTACAATTAAATAAAGTTTGATACTCTATACATCCTTTAGATAAAAATAAATGCATACATTTTTTTAAGTTATAAAACATTTTGCGCAAAATGTAATGTATATAAGTAGCATTCGTATTTAGCGAGTTTATTAGGCCAAAGTGTCCTGGACTGGCGAATAATGAAGGGTTAACGCGATTGACTATTGCAGAATACAACAAGGCGCTGAGCCAAAGGCAGCAGCTGGACGGGCAGCTGAACGAGAATATTATGGTGAAGAAGGAGCTGGACATTCTGAAGGAAGAGAACGACGTGTTTAAGCTGATAGGACCCATACTTGTGAAGCAGGAATTATGCGAGGCCAAGCAGAACGTCGACAAGCGCATGGATTATATCAAGTCTGAGCTGTAGGTTTGCTTCGATCAATCTCCCTCTTCCCCTCCCGAGCAAACTTTTGGGTTTTACATGCGAGGAGATCGAATTTCAGGAAACGCGTGGACGACCTGATGTCCACTTTGGATAAGAAGCTGAACTCCCAGAGGGACGTGATAGACAAGTTGCAGCAGGCGTTTCAGCAGGCCCAGATTAAAGCGTCGATAAACCAATCAAAGTCATAATACTGTACAGACCCTGGCTCTGTGAAATTATCACAGTTGTGTACAATTAATAACTAATGCTTAAGTGACATTGTTTTATATATACATATATATACTCTCATAATTCGGTATACAAATGCTCGTTTCATTTATTTATACTATAAACAATTATTATTACAAATCTTAGCTACGCGTCACAATCATTCAAGTGCAATTTGTAAATTAAAAATTATAATTTTCCAGAATATTCCCACTTTCAGAATCAATCCTTACAATCGATCAAGGGGCCAATTTCATCATCTTTGATTAATTTAACCAGCCGATTACGTATTCCATTGTAATTCCGATTGCATTTGTCCTTAAAGCAGAATTGACTCTAATCAAGTTTTGACACTTGATTGGTCAGTTAAATTAATCAAAGTCGACGTGAAATTGGTGACGACTGACTACTTTCTAACAATTGCGATAAAATTCACGACTCTTTTACGCCCAGGATTAATCGCGTCTCTACGGATTTCTTTCTATGGAGCTAAAACTGATTAATGCCAATTTCTCCAATGTAGACTAATTTTAATCTCGGTTTGATTTACTCTGTGTCTTTCTCTCTTCTAATTTCTTAGAACTGAAGAAAGAGATAGAAAATATAAACGTGCTATGTGAATCCTGAATTTTATATCAACTACTTTAATTAGTCTGCAGATATAATTGAGAGTAAATTTTTACGTTTTGATTATCTAATGTTCATTTCTATCAATATAGTTCTCGATTTTAATTACTTGCTTTGTATGTCTTTCTAGTTCTGATAAGAATTAGAAAAAAATTAAGTGTTAAACCGAAATTTAATCCACATTGGTAGAAACTAATATTGGATATTGGAACTAAAAAAAGATCAAGAGTATGTACATTAAACTGAAATTAAAATTAATCCACATTAGTAGAAACAGTCACGTGAGATATGTAAATTGCAGGGGTCGGTCGTATTTAAAATAACATTATTTAAAATATGTATTTTAAATAACAAAAAGTAAAAGAGTTGTTTAGTATTTATTATTTTAAATATGCTTCTTCTGATCTATTTTATATTTTATA